CAGTTTCCTTCGAGGCTCAGTTTCTTAGTTGTGCCCTTTAAAACTGCACATTAGTTGCCTTTCACAGCTGGGCTCCAACCCTCTTGGAGAGCCCAGAGCATGCAAGAGCTGCAATCTGTTTTGTGGTTCGCATCACAGGTCCACCATTCAAGGAGTTCTACAGAAAATTACATATCTTAAGGATTTTAACAGCACTGGGATTTCAGTATTGTGATCTGTGCCATTGTGTGACACAGCCCCACTTTCAAAGAGGTTCAGAGCAGAGGAGACAAGATGTCAACCGGTAGCAGTGTCACTGAGCGCCCCACAGCCTCCAACGGCACGTAGCCCGAGCCGGTTGGTGCAGAAAGATTGGGATGACATATGCCTCACAAACTCCTTTTGGATCAAAGTGCACACTTGGGCCTTGGGAAATTTGAGATACCCCTGTGCCTTTTGCTCATGTTTTAATGCTTTGTTTCTCTCATTTAGAGACTTACAATTGGGTTTTAGTCGCGGTTTTGACCTGCCACACTTTGTATAGTAAATAAGCACCAAAAAACACACACAGATATATATATATATATATAAAGCCATGCTCCTCGTAGACCGTAGATCAACGCTTGCGGCACGACCCTGGGTCTTTCCACTCTCTGTCCCGAGGCCTCCTTCAAGCAAGCCGTGGCCACTGGCTTGCTATGCAGACCGAAAGGAGGCTGCTATGCAATGTCTTTTGATTCAAAGCGCCTGTTTGGCCAACGTAGGCCGATGTGATTTGATGTGTGCATGGATGGTTTGAGTAGCTCGTTCGACGCGGAGTCAGGTATAGTCGGCTTGCCGGCAGAGATTTGGATCAAGCACATCATCCCGTGGTGCTCGAGGAGGTGGTTCGAGGCTGATCGGCTTCGCGGCCGAATGTCTGATTCCGAAATGATTTTATGTTGCAGTTCCCTAGCTTAAAAATGTATATAGGTACTAGTACACAGGCTATCGGCAATCTTTTATATACATTAGAGTACTGCAGGTCAACACTCGAGACAGCAACATTCAATGACGGCCGCATGTTTAATTTGCAATCAAGAATGTGGCGTTGATCTGCGTCAATATAATTTGACAAAACTACTCCCAAGCCGCCTGTGGCTTTGCCCCAAATGCATGGACTTTGATGCATAATTACTTCTAACCTCAATGTAGCATTTGACATTGAAGACAAAGTCATTAGTACAAACGACTTATGTCCCACACAAATAGTCTTGTCCGGACAGCGCCAGTTGAAAACTTGCCTCCTGTTAAGCAGTTATACAGTTGGCTTGGGAGGTTTCTAGAGGGGCACCTGACTATATAATCATAGAGAAAGACCGTAGAAGATGGCGGAGAGTACAGATTACAGAGGACCTGTCTGAGGTAAATCCCGTAAATGATGTGAGTTGACGGGTAGCCAAGAGATGCAGCGCTCGCTCACCTGACTGGTTGAAGCTCAAAGACAAGAATCCCGAACCAAACATATCAAAGAGCACCTACCCATATTTTAACATGACCCTGCCAGACCTGCAGTAAATCCACACTGGAGGAGATGATGAAAATAGAGAGAGAGAGAGAGCACATACTGTATTTTACATTCAATAAAAAGGGAGGTAAGATTTAGAAGAGAGAAGAGCTAGAGGGCAGGAGATGATTATATAATGATAGATCAACGCAAAAAGTAAATATACCAGCGAGAATCATCATATCAACAGAATAAGTAATGGCCTACGCCTTGCAAAGAGAATCCCGGTGCACAGGGCCCTCGAAACGGAACTCCTGCCTTACAAGCCGCTGTGCCTGTGGAGGCTGGTCAGAGAAGTTGCCGACTGCTCTTTGATCAAACGATCAAACCCATTCCCCTGGTAGCGTCCTTGCTCCTAGTAGTAAGGCCAGGAGCCGCTAGTTAGTAGCTTCTTGTTCCTAGTAGCGATGCCAGGAGCCCCTAGTAGCAGCATGTTTTTTACATTTCACAAACAACTTGGACGTGATTCACAACGTTTACTGTTAGATACTGTAAGTGTGCAATCATTCAAAGGCACCTTGTCACCTGGCCAAGCGAATTCTCAGAAACATTTCGATGGTAGAACACATTAGAACACCTGAAAGCATTTCGATGCTTCCTTACAGAGCCTTACCCTTCTGTGAGCGTTCATGATTGTTCATGTATATAAGACCATGTAGCTGCAAACAACTGGTCGAAGTGCTGACTTTCCCGAGAGGAGGTTGAGGCTCTTTAGGTGTGTCAAACAGCACCAGGAGCCCCCATCGCTGGTCCTTCCTATGCAGTGTGGAAAGGACCTCACAATTGATCACAGTCACTTCTTTCCGATGTCTGAAGCTGTGGTTATATTCCCAGCTAGGCGTGAAAGAACCCACTTATGTGCACACGAAAAGGGATGAGCACCAGCTGTACATCGAAGGGAGCGAGTCTTCCGAGTCCCAGCTGTAACAAAATTGCAAAAGGTATCAGCGATGCCCTTTGCTACTAGTGGCTCCTTGTTACTAGTAGCAAGAATGCTCCTAGTAGTACGGCCAGGAGCCCCTAGTAGCGTCCTTGCTCCTAGCAGCGATGCCCTTTGCTACTAGTAGCTTCTTGTTAGCAACCATAGAGGCAGTTCCGGTATCGAACCGCGTTTGGGTCCGCTCACCTGGCCGTAGAGCTCTTCAAACACCTGTGCAATCTGTGCGTGAGTTGCATTCTCGAGTCTGGCAGTGCTTGGAATGGGTCTATCAAGTCAGTTTTGTTTCCCAAAAGTGCTTTGCACTGATGTGGGATTCTTGAGGACGAGGATGGGTCCCAGCCTCAAGCCTACAGTGACTACAGTGACTACAGCAAGCGACACCTTGTGTGCAATGGTTTCTATAGGACTTTTGGCCCTTGCACTTGCTTCGTGCCCAAAAACAGATAGAACGCGTGTACTTTCTGGTGGATGCACAGATTATCACCCTGAAGTGCCTGTTGAGGTCGGACTCAGGATCAACAGCCGCTCCATCATCACAGTTGGGGTTCTGAGATTGGGCTCACTGGAGGCACCTTTTTTGGTATCCAAAGCTTGCCTTTCCTTTTCTGAGACGACATCGCACATGTTTTTGCTGTCCACCAGCGTGTGTGTGTGTGTGTGTGTGTAACCCTTGGAATCATAGGGATCCTTTCGGATTGTTTTAGCTTCACAGTTGTTTTCCTTGTGCAGCAGGGGGCTGGAGTGTGCTTCAGATGTCTCCAGCCAACGAAGACGCATCTGTCGCACAGTGATATAGTTCTGGGACGCCAGAACTACGTACCTGCCTCTTTCAAACGGAATGGCACGAGGCTAAGCCCAGAACCTCACTTGCTGCAGACTTGAGCGATCGTCGTCATTTCGCCCTGTTCGTCGTCTTCGACCTTACGCTTTTGGCCTCCTTTCCTTTTAAGACCTCCAGGATTCGATGGTCCTTACTGGTTCTCTTAGGAAATGGAACCCTAGGCCGGCGTGTGGCACCGCTTTCAGTCCAGTACACCCTATCCTAAGTGTGTTTGGCCTCGTGCCAACCCGGGATGAGCCCGCAGAGTGCCTCCCGTGGACCCGTTGAACGGGGGTACGTCGTTATCTCCCCTGCCCGGAGATGTACGTGTCCGCAGCGGACAGTAGCTGGCTCATGCCACCAGAACTCCGATTTTGTCTCATCTTAGGAATTCCAAGTTGGCTCATGCCTTTACGTGACCGCAGCGGTCTAAGCAGCCAGCCGCCTCGGCAGGGCACAAGGTGACCACAGCGGTCAAAGTATTTTTGAGGTTCATTGGAACCTGTTGGGACCTTAGCCCCCTTCTCCCCCTTCCCTTCCCCCTTTCTTTCTTTGCTTCCTGGGGTTTTCCTGAATGCAACACTCAGGATCACCCCTCTCTTTCTTTGGTGTGTCCCTGGACGCTTGTTCGTAGCTGGGAACACCTGCCTTTTTCTTTTTTCTCTCCTCTCCCGTTCTCTCCCTCTCTCTTTCTTTCTTTCCTTCTCTCTCTCCTTCCTCCCTCCTTGGGTGTCCCTGGATGCTTTTGTCATAGCTGGGAACCTTCTCCTCTCTTCCTTTGGTGTGTCCTTGGACGCATGCGTCGTAGCTGGGAACACCTTCCTTTCTTTTCTCTCCTTTTTCTCGTCTCTCCCTACCCCTCCCTCTTGTCGGCACCTTAGCTTGGGATGCTACTAGGGGCTCCTGGCCTTCCTACTAGGTGTTAGGTGTTTCTTTGACGCTACTAGAGGTTCCTGGCCTTACCACTACTTGGGGACGAAGAGTCTCACACCACCTATGGCGCGGAGCTTAAAAATCTTGCCTCCCCTCGGGGAGGCGTGTGTGTGTAACCCTTGGAATCATAGGGATCCTTTCGGATTGTTTTAGCTTCACAGTTGTTTTCCTTGTGCAGCAGGGGGCTGGAGTGTGCTTCAGATGTCTCCAGCCAACGAAGACGCATCTGTCGCACAGTGATATAGTTCTGGGACGCCAGAACTACGTACCTGCCTTTTTCAAACGGAATGGCACGAGGCTAAGCCCAGAACCTCACTTGCTGCAGACTTGAGCGATCGTCATCATTTCGCCCTGTTCGTCGTCTTCGACCTTGCGCTTTTGGCCTCCTTTCCCTTTAAGACCTCCAGGATTCGATGGTCCTTAGGAAATGGAACCCTAGGCCGGCGTGTGGCACCGCTTTCAGTTCCGTACACCCTATCCTAAGTGTGTGTAGTGACAACCTGATACGCCGTTCAAGCGTGTTGACTCCTTGGAACCCGACCGATACTGATTGGCTCCAGCTGATCCCCACTGACAAAAGCTAAAGTCAAAGGCAGAAACTCTAGCTTAGCTGATACAGCCAAGACTTCCACCCCTACTAGTACAGTAATCACTCCTCATTTCAATGCCAAACAAGCCATGTGAGATCAAAGTTGCGTGTCCCTCGCTTCAGGAATCTGTGGAGCTTTCAACCTAAGGTGAAATGACGTGGACCGCGACTGAACAATTCATGTAGCACCATAGAAACAAGACCAATGTCAATAGCACCAAACATTGAGCTCGATCCTGGCCGACATGGACAGCAACAAGGTGCTTAGGGTCAGTGGAATAACATGAGATGAGCATGCAGATAGTACTGAGTGGAACTCAGGATCCCATGCAACTACTTCGTGTTATAGGAACCAAACCTTTTCACTGTGTGGCTTCGGTTTGATTCATTGATGATACTTCGAGAATTGTAGCCCTTTTTTCTTCAACTCACACAAATCTCTGCGAGAGGATGATGTGGACGTAGAGGGGTTGTTTCCCGTCGTGCTGGACCTGTGGAGCTCAAGTCTACCGAGAGTCTTCCAGCGAAGCGAACTGCGGTTCTTTTGTGGCATCCACCTTGCGACCTGGGGCGTTGACACCTTAGTTGACAGATATTATGTTGCTGTATTTGCAAATTGATCTAAAGGGGTGTGTATTACTGTATATACAACGACCTTTTTAGATGCTGTCCAAAACGTCCCCGACAGGTCTGCGTTATTTTTTGGCAACATATTTATCAACATTATTTACTTTTTTATTGGTTTCTTTCTACCCACATGTCCCCACTGTCACAGACTAAGCAACTGAAGCGTCAGCATTTCCTCGCCCAGCCCTCAAAGTGCGTAAAGGATTCTCCGATTCCAGCCTCCTCCAACAAACTGACAACTCAAATTGCCCTTGTGACCCTGACAGTGAGGCAGATGTTTGCGCATGATATACATTTCGGGGAAAGCAGGCAATTTCGCGAAAGATCTGCGAAAGTTCCGCGAGGGAGCCGTTAAAGTCCCGCTTCCGAACTTGAGCCCCCGCACTCCCTTACCTAAGCCTCCTCCAGGCCTTCCTCAAGGTTTGTCGCACAGATGCTGCAACTGACCCTAGAGTAGTGGTAGCAACCCTCAACCCGGTGCGTGGGTAATGCTGGAAGATGCCAGTCACTACGTTGAAATTACACGTGCAGTTCCAACACATGTTAACTAGACATGGCTTTAGGACCATACTTCGCGATGAGGCCGCGAAAGACCTGCAAAAGCTAATCTTTTCAGTGAAGAATGGCGGTTCCATCATGAAGTAATATTCATCAACCACCATATGGGTCACAACACGCTGATGTGTGGAACCTGTGCCATCCATTTGCGTCTTCAATTGGTTCACTCAAAAGATGTCAAAAAGCTGTTTTGCCTTTGTAGTCAGGGACAACTACAGTGGCACCATATAACTTCTGAGGCATTCCAAGAGGGCTGGTTCCAACAGAAACGTGAAGCCGATCGTGGCATTGACTTTGATCTTGGATCAATCCTGAGTGTGGACTGGGTGGACCTGAAAATGCTGACAATGATTAGTGCTTTAGCTGCATGTTTAGGGACCCTGGAGGCATGCATGGCTGTGCCATCCCATACGCTCTTGTTTTTTTTCTTCAAGTAGGGTGTGGAAGGTGGCTTTGACTGGCAAATGCGTCTTTTTGCTTCAAATTTGCTGCACAGAAATTCGATGAAATCTCCAGCATTTTGACACGGATAGCATTGCCTCTGTATTCTTTGATCCCGCCAAGGCACCGTTCTATTGTCCTTTTACGTCCACCAATGCTTTCGAAGGTGCGAGGAGATGCGAGACACATGATGTGTAGTAATTACTGTAAGGATTTCGGTTCCGTGGAGTCCGTCATTTAAATTCCGAATCCATGTTTCAGATACAAGAACATTTCTGCCGCTGACCCTTTTTAGAATGTACTGGATCACTGTCGAAATAGCAGATGCCATGACCCGTTCACACGCAATAAAGGAGACCAATACAATTACGCTTCTCAAACAAACATAAGTGATACGGGGTGCCTTAAATACTTGTAGTATATAGTTATTCCGAGGATTGTCACACTTGGTGAAGTATAATATGGTGTACTGTAACTGCATAATTATGTTAATTTAATCACAGTGGCGACGGGGGGGGGTTTCCCTCAGGTCATCAATTTAGAAAGGGAACTCTACTTGAAAAGCTGAGAGACCGAGACTGGGAACGTCAAACAAAACATGACGAGAGGCTTGAATCCAGGTTCAAAAACAGTAGCTTTCCAGATCTGGAAAGTTATTTTTGTTTGGAAAGTGCCATACCAGATGGTGAGATGTGGAGGCCAAGAAAGAAGGCGATAACAAAGCTTGGGCTGGGAGGTGAACCTTGGTCATTCAATGTTTGAGACTAGGATCAGTGATCAGAAGTCACTAATGATTGTGTTTTTGTGTTTTGTTTATTGTTTTTTTGCATAAAGCCACTTAGCTCTTCATGGAAAATACTTCTTTGTATATAATTGTTGGTACTATCATCATCATGGTTCTGTTGTGGATACCCCTTAAAAGCCATTAAACAGATTCAACTCCTTGAGATGGTAGAGTGTTTTGTTTTACTCTTCATAGAAGTATACCACATGATTTTCTAATCATTGCAGGATACCTTCATATGACATCTCTTCAGGCATCCCCTATAATGTTTCCTAGCCCGCAGTATGTTAGGTGCATATTTATTGCTTTGCAGTCACGTGGATTTGATCTGACATGTTTTGCTTGCGCATAAGTGCCTTCACCATGGCAGGTATCAGCTGATTTGCACGCTGACAATGCGCATGTTCAGCTCTGTACATGACATCGCCTTTCAGGCACATGACTTTGGGCTGTCAGTCAATCTCAAAACACAAGATATCCAACCATGGGCATTGGCAGGTCAGTGGCAGACCAATCTCAAACCAAGTCCATGGTTTGAAAGAGTTGATAGGACGAGATGCAGTCGTTCGCCTTGTTGCGAAATGACACACATTCGGACAAGCTGGGAGGCAATGTACAAACTTGTACTGTACTTTTCTTTGAACAGGTCTCCACTCTCCACTTGTCATGTGGATTTCTGCTGCTGCACTCGGCCAGTGTTGGCCTGTGTTATGTTTTCAGGCCAGGCTCTTCCTGGACACCAAGAAATCGCGGCTTTGCAGCCGCTGGGTGACCCTAGCAGCCCTTTTGAGCTTAGCCACAGGACAGGGATCAGATTCATGTAGGAATGATGAAGCAAGTGGTCAGGGTCAGTGAGCCTTGAACCAAGACACTTCTTCAGCTTCACCTTGCGCCATCTTGTGCCCTCGCAACTCTTTTCATTCTGTAAACTTGAGCTGGATACTGAGCTCTCAAGGATTTGACACAGTGTAAAATGAAGATCCAGGAACCAAAGGAACCAAAGTAACCGAAGGAAGCGGAAACACAGAGAAAAGGAAAACGAAGCTAAGTGTCCCCCCAAATCTAGAAACCAAATGAATAGCGTGAGCTATCCTGCGTCCAGTTACTAGTAGCGAACTAGTTTCTCCCTTACTTATATAATCAAGTAGGCGCCTACTTAACAAAGTAGGAGCGGTCTTTACAAAAAGACGCCTTGTGAGGCCCTTCGACCAGAGCCTGGCGGAAACTCTTAGCACATGGCTTGGTGCGGCGAGTGGAAGTGGAGCCACTGCGGCGCATGGGCGAGGCCCGGGGATGGCTACTGCTGCAAGAGACTGTGGAGCTTTTGCACCAGGAGCCGAAGACAGCAGGATATCCGTGTAGGTCCGTATGCATTGGAGTCTTTTTTGTGAGCGAGATGAGATAAGTAATTCCTCGCACAATGGGGTACAACAAAGAACCGTCGCTGTGGCCGCGCAAGAACCGGGTAAGTAGAGACCTAAGCCAACAGTTACGACATGAGAAACATATACAGACATTGTGGTAGTCGACACTCAGCGTTTCACGGCAAGTCCACTTCTTTCCTCTCTTTTTGAATCATGGGGAAAGGATCCGGTAGAAGAGCTTCTGACTGCTGCCAACTCGGTTTGAGGCGCAATTGCAAGGGATTTGCTGACGCTTGTGATGCCAGGAGGTTAGCGGCAAAGTTCTGAGCGAAATGATCTCTCGAATACTGGCTTTCCGTGATTGTCAGCAGGTTCCTCATTGCACTGAGTACTTACATTTTGTTTCCGCTTTGAACAGGAATGTCTCACATCACACTCCCTTAATTGCATGCTACTAGTACGGTCACAAACAAGATCGCATATTCCGCCTTTGCTTTCGCTCCGCTCTAGAAGCCCGGAGGAGATCTTGGAGACCAAGAGGTTGTCTTTACCTTTCACATACCATCATCTATTGACAGTGGTGATCATGGTGAACCTCAGTTTGCTTTCTTATGGCTCCGCCTTGTCCACAACTTGCCTTGCGCCTCCAATCTTCTTCCTGGTGGCCATCTTCTTCTTTGGTATGATGGAGGTGTCTTGGTGGAAAGCAGCACTGGTTTGGGAGGCCAATTGAAAGCAGAGCTGTCTTTTGGGGGCGGGCGCTTACCTTTCACACCAGTCGTTTTGCCCTGGCAAGGGTTTTATGTTATGGAACCCTAAGTGTTGTTCAAACAAGTATTGATCTGAATCTCACAAGGCAAATGTATACAAATGTGTTCAACAGCTGCAGAGCCAAGCGGAGGTGTCAGTTCAACTCTGGGATCCCTTGAGCGACGAATCAAGTTTGCCAGTGCAGAGACTTACCCAGGACTTATGTGCTTCAGTAACTTGGACTTTGGCTATTCTGAATCTCTGAAGCCTACTTTTGGAAGGAATCTAGAAGAAGTTGGCATCCCCTTCGTCATTCTTCCAGCGATTGCATTCACTGAATTGGATTGATGGGTTCTCATCGGTTTCACAGTTTCACCTCCCTAGAACTTACAGGATGACCGGTGAGCCCAATTTTCAGGAACGTCGAGAGTGAAGAACTCTGAATCTATCCACAAAAGTGGCCTCAACGAGGTATGCCAAAAGAGGTTGTGTTGCCACCAGAAGAACGCCCGGAAGCCTTGTTGGCCCAAGAACACCCGGAAGCCTTGTTGGCCCAATGTTACTGTGTTCCCCAACAATGAGCAACGGATCCCTGCCATCCCCTTCCTCCAGGAGTTTCTTTGGTCCATGCATGCTCTCATCTACTACGAGCACGATGGGCCTGACGAGAAATGGCAAAGTGATTTGCGGGAGGAATCCAGTGCGCCTTGTGCCTTCCTGCTCTGAGTTTGATTGTCTCCAGAACTCCATGGTACTACTAGGAAGGTGTTGAAATTTGGCGGTGCCCGTTGAGGGCATTCTTGGATCATCGCTCGATGGACCATCCTTTCGGAATGCACTGGTGGAAGAGTCTTTTTTAACCGCAAAGACTGCGGTGAAATTCCACTCGAGACGTCGCTCCAAAGTATTTGAGTGAATCACTGGTGCGAAAACGATAGAATGACGATGTCGATCCCAGTCCCTGGCTTCTGACCAGCTTGGTCAGCATACGCTGTTTTCAGCTTCGGAAAAATCAAGATACTTTTGCATATTCTTACAACTCTTGCAGCTTGAAGATGCTTGAAGCAGAGCCAATTTTAAGCACTTTCGCTGAGGAATACTCCTGAAAGTGGACCGTCCCAGCCTCCCATGGAAATGTCGCCTGGGCCTTGTTCGGGTGGGGCATTTTGGACGTCAAAGGCTCCGTGTCCGCGAATTCCTCACTTGTTGAGCAGGCGTTCCTCCCTTTTCTGTTCGTTGGGCAAGAACAATTAAGCTGCTACAACCTTTGCTGTTAAGCTTCTTCAATGTATGCGTCATGGCGTTCGCAAGACACTGTTCTTGCATTCTTGTAGTTTTGGCTTGCCGCAATCCTGCGGGACAAGCAGGAGAGTGCAGAAGGGGTTCCAGCAGGACAGCATGCACCAGACTAGACCATATTTTTGAAAGAGATCTATTTTGTAGTCAGAATGGCTGCACGAAGTCAGTGGAGTCTCTAGTTACAGAGAGAAAACGTACAGCTAGGTTACAGGTTTGCCTTGAATTCATTCCTTTGCTAGAACAGGATTTCTTTGCTCAGTTCTTTCAGGTCAATCCCAAATCAAATGTCCTCATATGGCGAGGATGTCCTCTTCGAGGTGAGAGACGTTCAATATCATTCAATTGTGATCTCCGTGGTGGTCCACTCAAGCTGATCTCTCATCTCTGTGGTCCGAGACTTCCACCTTTTCCGCTTTAAAGGAGTTTTGATCTGACTTTAGACAGAGAAAGCTTCGACGCCTTTGCAGTTCTGCATGCAGCGTGGGTCACCTAGGGCTTGGGGAGCCGCATCGACTGAGGGTATCGGTATTTGCATTGTCAAGCAGGTCAGTTCACCAATACACTCAAGGGGATGCCTCTCCAATACTTGGAATATGCAAATCTTTACACTTTACACCCAAGAATTCAAAAAATATGCAACGCACCTCATTGAGCAAGTGAGCCGCTCAATAATAGATATAATAGGAATCCCTCAAGCAGTCAATCTTGTGGGGACTTGCATTGGTCAGAATAGATTCAATCAATAGATCTCATTCTGACAGACTGGAAGACCATGTCTCCTTTAAGACTGTACACCTGTGAACCAGCTGATTATTCCCAAACAACTTAGCCCACATAGTTCCTCCTGAGTTCTACATAGCAGAGTATGCAGGTTTGGAGCAATGGGCGCCGGTACGCCATCGGCCGTGAGGCAGTGGGGCATCATTTTTGGGGATTAGTCTATTGGGTGCCCGACAGAGCCTGAAGTCATTGCTTGATTTTGTTTGTGTACTGGAGCCCCTATGATACGTGTTTCCTTTTCTGGCATGCCATCCTGTCATCTTCACCTGCAAGAACATTGCCCGAAGTGCCAGCTAGCTTCAAGACTAGTGTCCGGGCTGGTGCCTTATCCTGTGGGCCACCTTGGCCCAAAACACAGGTGCCTGTATATAGAACAAACAAAAGGCAAACATAACGTCTCAGTCTCAAGCGTGTGCTTTGCCCAAGTTGTTGCAAGGGTGATCCCGACGACGCTGATCATGATCAACGCATGGCAGTACCTTTGCGCGTGCTGCCAGAAGCTCTGACATATCAATCACATTGTCAGCTGGTCATGTCAAGTGCAATCGTAGTGGGACAGGCTATGAAAGCCAGATCATTGTGATGCAGCAACACAAACCGATTCTGCACTTGCTTCACAGTATAATTACTTGGTTCAAGGTTACCTTGGGCAAGCTTTTTGTCTGCAAACGGCAAGCCTAGGCAACTACTGGCGAATGAAGCACGCAGCAGACAAAGACGACGCCAGCGCGAAGAGGATGGGCTCAGATGATCGGTCAGGGCTCTATGACCAAACAGAATATAAACATACCCGTATAGACTTATAGAAAAGGACTTGACTGGCGATGGCCTCCAACCTAATGGTGATGGCCTCCATCCTACTAGCGATGGCCTCCATCCTACTAACGATGGCCTCCAACCTAATAGCGATGGCCTCCATCCTACTGTAATAGCAATGACTATACATTCTTTTGGAAGTCCACAATGTAATGACTTGTGAACGAGCCTCAGCATGCTGTACAGTGTGCCTTGTTGATACGTCAGTGAACATGGTGGCACACACACACACATGGAATATTACTTACTGCTAGGCGCCAGTAAGATTCCAGAGCATGTTGCTATGATACCCGCATGAGTATTTCTAACACCTTTTGGGATGTTAGCACACGGTCGACAACGAAGTGGTTCACTTTGTCCAAACTAGTGTTTGCAGGAAGAGAGGGAGCAGGAGCCAGAAATGCTCCAGGCACTGAAGTCTGTGACTTTGCATTTTCCTTTTTTTTTGGGGGGGTAGGCCGCTAGTAGAAGAGGTGTAGCTAGTAGAAGAGAGGTAGCTAGTAGCTTAAGTAACTACTAGCTACTGGACGCAGGATAGCTCACGCTTCTTCAAGGAAGCTCCCTCCGCCTGAGGGGTTGAAGAAGCGCTCGCACGGTTCCTAAATTTTTAGGGAAACTTATATAACTTGTTTTGACAGAATGCTGTTAGTGCTTTTGATTTATATAATGTGTATAGTAATAGTAATGCGGGTAGTAATGTACGCAGGACCGGGATGATGAATGTATTCTCTTACTTCTGGATGAGCCTTGCAGGTCGCAGAGCTTTGGGAGGACGATGAGGCTCAGTATCATCCACACAATTCTGGCACAGTGCAAAGCCCTCATTCCTGGCCAGCTTTTTTGGAACGACAACAAGCACGCTGCAGGAAGAGCTTGGACAAAAAGAGATAGAAACACGGAAGAGAGGGAAGTGAGTTTTGGCTTGCCTCCATGGGGCCCCAAATCCACACGGGTTGCATAGAAGACATTCTGCTGTGGTCTATGTGGTCCAGTTTGCGAGGAGGGGTGATAAGGCGCCAGACATTTGACTTGACAGGAGGCATGGGAATGGGGAGATGAAGATATGGATTTGGCCTGGCAGCCTGAGTCGGTGATGAGACCAGGAACATTTGTGTCAGATGAGGACCAGCATACATGACCGATGGAACCAACAGTCAAGTCCCTCAAGATGGGAACACTTATTGTTTGCATTGTGTTCCCCCTTGTCCTTTCACGGAGAACTTCGTTTGATTAGACCGTGGAGTGAACTTAGGAGATGGAGGGTGAGCCTCCACAGACGCGGCATGACAATGACATGCGCGATGTCGAGGTGGCGCCGCTGCATGTATTTTACAGCAGCAGCGGTTCGTAAGGGGCAAATCGAGATGTTTTGCCATTCCTCACCTTCCTACTCCCCTTCTTAGCGGCCCCACCAATATAAGCAAGATCATTCCCGCTGCAATGCACCGATCTGAGCAGGGGCCTTCTGCTTTTTTTTTGGGACTGGCTTGCATTGGCATCACTGGACCGCCAGGTTGAAGACGTACGAATGCTGTAAGGTGCAACCTTTGGGTGCGCCGCAAGAAGAACCTGACGTGTTATAGTTATATTTAATTATATACATAAATATATACATAACCATTATGAAAGCACGTGCTTCGTTCATAAACAGGTCAAACAGGTGACCAAGACGTACAAGCAAAGTAACTAGACAAATCATGAGCTTGAGTTAAGTATGTACATGAAAGGGCAGCTTTTGTGTTTGCAAGTTGAATCGTTTTGAATCACCCCAGTTACTGTAGGTTAAAGTTTCTCTTTGTACGGGTGTGGGGACCGACACTCCCAAGCGCTGCAGCCAGGCCGGCAGAGTCAACGCGCAGCAATGCAAGATCTGAGTGTTGGACCGTCTTAGACCACTTGGAACATAGTTTAAACAACAAAAGCTTGATTTCTTTATAGACGTTCATGTATTATGACTTCTGGCTTAGGCCTGTTTTACTTCCAGAACCTTGGAGAATGCATCCTGTGCGCTGTCTGCTTATGGGGTGTGAGTTTCACGCATCGATATCCACAGGTTCCGCTCTGCAACGAATTTTAAATTTAGGTCCTTCTAGGAAACAGCATTTCTGCAAGCGGCAGCATGGCACGGTTCATCCGATGACACCATTGAAAGGACATGGGCACATGACTCCATTTTAGACAATATTAAGTTTCTCTAAAAATCTAGGAACCAAATGAATAGTGCGTGAGCTGTCCTGCGTTCAGTAGCGCTAGTAGTGCACTAGTAAGGTAGTAGCTACCTCTCACTACTAGCTAACTACATACCTAGCTAACCTACCTCAACTCTACGGCCTACCCCCCTGGGCTTTAAAAAAGAAAACATAAATGAATAAATAACAAGATAAATTAAACAAACACATATATTTAGTATTAGGAGAGAGGAACGGGCAAAAAAAGGCCCTGTCAAAATGTCTGAGCGTTTTTTAAATGCAACATCCCTAGTTTCCCTCAAAGCACTTTGCTGGTCCTTTGATGAGACAAGCTTTGCTGGTCCAGCTAGCATTCTAACGATCAATGATTCCTCCGGATGTATCTGACTACTCCTGCCATAGCTGACCCGCCGCGACTGCAAGATGATGAGATGGTTGCTGGATTCTTGTCACTAGAAAAACAATTGCACTCTCTGCTTTGTCAGATAGCTTTGGGCTATTTAGATGAGTTGTCAAGAGCTTTGCATGAAAAGGTGATTTCTTCGTCCTTCATACATAAGGGAGGATTGCTTGAGAAGGCCCAGCCCAGACACATCTTGCCAAGTTTTCCCTTGAGCTGAGGGTAGGCAAGTAGGCTTGCTGAGGTACTGCCATCGATTGCGGTAGTCCCACATGAGGATACGAACTTTTCAACGTTTGCGTTTTTGGGCTTCCGAATGGAGAGTCTTGGGAGGCCCACAAAAATGAGCCACGATACAATCTGTGTATTATATACTTCATTATGCTTATATATATATATAATATATGTATTATGTTTCCGAATGCGCAACTCATTGCGCTGACTGGATCATGGCCGTAGGGAAGAGTCACAACCGTTGGGGCCCTTCCTCCAAAATGTATCCACAGAGATCAAAAAGTCACAACTG